GAGGTTGATTTTTAGACGTGGTCTTCCACAGGAAGCCCACGTAATGTGATGAAGTCACTATTTTGGCTTTTAGAACTCGTAAAAAGTTTGCCGAGTATAACAATAGTTTTTCCATGAGATATTATTTATCATATAGTCAGGTAAAAAAACGTGTCAGCGTTTTAGGTTTAAAATGTTTGTGCTCAATTATGGTATCAAATTTCACTTCAAAAATTCGAATGAAATACAAAGTAGAATAACTAAACAAATAAGCCAAATAAGCCAAAAGTTTGCAAACGGTGAGCTTGCTAACATTTTTCTTATTTCATTGTTTGACAAAATCACTTCATTGGCTTACAGCAGTTGACTTATTCTATTTTGGCGCCCGCAATATGCGCCACAACTCCTTATAACTGAACGTTTCTCTTGCCACTAATACTATTCAATTTGTCATAGCGGGCTTGCTTGTCTCATATTATAGCCACACATACTCATGACAATGGTATTCTTGATGGTTTATGATGTTATCGATCTTTCAAAGCCAACATTTTTAATCCCGCAAATACTTTAATGGTCTTAAAGTGTGCTGAGCCACCGCAGAAACATTCTTATGAAGTTTTACTATAATTTTAACTACCATTTGCTTTAGCGATATTCTATTAGAATTTCAATAATCATGTTGATGATATTTTAATTCAAATAATCATGTTGATGATATTTTAATATTTATTTAAATTCTAATAGAATATCTCTAAAGCAAATGATAGTTAAAATTATAGTAAAACTACATAAGAATGTATTAAAATACGGCTGGCGACTGAAATTTCAAACAAATCATAGATACATAGATATATCTAATACTTATCCGAAAGACTTATGTATTATAAATTTCCTTAGGTGATTGATGCCGAATATAATTATGATACAGTATTAATTCAAAGCCAATGTCTCTGAGTTTACACAGACTTTGATTTACCGTCCGCCATTTTGTGTATGAAGTTAGCAGTACGGCAGCTATATAGTGTTCAACCGAAAGAAAGGCTTGTGTTCAATGAGCAATAACTCGTTAGACATGTACGTCACTAACTTCCTTCAATGAATTTGTCCAGAATATGTTTTTCTAAAAGCTCTAGGATATTAAAACATGGAAATATGTCTTTTTGGATATAATATAACGCAAAATACCACGRAACTGAAAGTCAAGATAAAGCTATAAGGCGATATATACCTCTCTGAGTCCGATTGTTGGCTATCAAAACTTTTATTGTTASTGCATTTTACTGTGAAAATCATAATGAATGTATTCTACATGCCAACAGTGATACTGAGTATTTACATAACATTCTCATATGGACGCCGTCTAGATGACTGTGAATAACCACCCTTTGGCAATGACGAGTTTCACGACGCATCCTCAACACGGTAATCCGCTGTCCACCAAAATAGACCTCTCCCATATTCATGTATCCCACATCTCATATAAAGATTACTTGTGCGAGCATTATTAGCAACTGGAATATATTACTCAAGGGAAAAGGTTAAAAGAAAGCGCCTGTGTGTTGCGATCAGAAAACATTGTGATAGGTTGTAGTTCTATTTAGATTTATAAAATTTTTGATATATAACGCGCGCTCTGATTGGCTGACGACCGTGTTTATATCAGAGGACAGAGACACGGCTTACGGGCAAAATTTTCTTTTCGCTCGAAAAATTTTATAAAAGAAATATAAAACGGAAATATAAAACGACGCGCGTGTCTCTGTCTTCTGATATAAACACGGTGGGAGTTGAAAAACACTCGAGAAGCAAGAGAAAAACTCGTGTTCCTAAGCTTGCTTCTCTCGTGTTTTTCGAACTCCCACCGTGTTTATATCAGAGGACAGAGACACGCGCGTCGTTTTATATTTCTTAAATATAAACATTCGTTATGGATAATAGAAAAAAAAAGATATCTTGCTTTCGCCGCCGAATGGTCTTTCTTTCTAGCCCCAGGCAGAAGTTCTATATGCTATCCAGTGAAGGAGGGTTCTAGTCAGCTTTAAGTTCCAACCTCTTTACATTGCCGTGTATATTAGAAAGATATTTTTGAGAACATTTTCACCCACTCCGGAACAGTTGTCAACTGAYTTTAGATGAGCCACAGCAACTAATAGTTGTCAAAGGCACACTGACAGTCTCGCTTCAGTTGTTCATACTAAAACAAATAATTCAGTGATTACTGCTGGCTTGCTCTTAATTGATTGATTGATATTCAGTCTACCATTCGGTTTTCCTGTTTTTGACTTTCCATTTGACATCATGTAAGCAGGGGAGTCAGACGAATAATTGCAAATGGTAAAATGCCAAAAAGGATTTTATGCTACCATAGCATTCCTCAGAATGGGTCAACAGAAGTCCTTGCCATTGATTGTCATCAAATTAAACAAAAACAACTTTTTTTTGAATTTTCAAAAGAGATAGAAGCAGTTATGAATTATGAATTAAAAAGTACGGCAGTTGAAGAGTGTTTTGCGGCGCAGAGATTGCAAAAGAAAAGGGTTCAAGGATACGTCGCTGTGATGATCATGAATTGATAATCAAGACTGGGAATCGATAGAACATTATTTATTTTGTTGTTTGAACTCTTTTTTTCAGAATTAGGTTTATATAGGGCAGTCAGTGAGCCTTTTTTGGGGATTAAAGTTGTTGCAATTGTGCATTTGTTAATAATCTTTGGGACTTAACTAGTATACATTATTCAATTTTATTCTGCAGACAAATATGAAATATGATACTTTACTTTTCTTTCAAAGATCTAATTTAAATTCAAAGTACATAATATTGTAAGTTGTTAACTAGATAAATGTATTACTTTTACAATGGAATAAAAGTGTTAACAATTTTGCTTTTTGAGATCAGATGTCTAGATTAATGGAGGACATCATTCAAAGTCTATTACCATGTCTTTAAACCTTTAGCAATCTAACAGACTTTTTTATAATAAATTACCTTTTAAATACCTCCTATTTAAGTTGATATCGACAATAACCGTTATATAACGTGATTAATTCACATATAAAAAAATAAAAACAACTCATTACAAAGAGCAGAACTATAAGAGATGAAGGGGGTTTCCATAGAAGCACTGGACACCCCTATAGCTCCGCCATTTGATTTATCCAGTGTACTACCTGAAGAACCCCTATTTCACCTTATGATTACTTGGGACATTCCATGTATCCGCCATTACTGAACATATGAATACTGCAAAAGAATCGMAAAGAAAATAACCATAAGAAGGAAAAATATTGAATTCAGCCGATAAGACATTCTTGCAAGACATTTGCTTCGAGAACCGGTGACTGCATTTTAAATATTCCTTTTTTATCTCACATTGTTTTATTAATTAGCCTGAGMGGTAACAGTTCCCAATTTAGTCACAGAATTGTGTTTCCGGCGCCATTTGCCATGCAAGAGCATTGATAGCTGATTAACGCTCATCTATTCAATCTGAAAAGTGAAGACCATCTACTTGGACTAATATTATCGTCTGTTTGGGAATTTCCTTAAGTGAAACATGCGGAAACTAAAAAGGAAAACGCTTAAGTCGTTTGGAGTGCTACTGACAGGAACACACGGCTAATGAGAAAGGACTGAATAATCACTACAAGTATTCATTTTAGTGGCAGRCCACACACTGAAGTGTTGACTTGCACCAAAGAACTGTAATAATACCATTTCAGCCCGGTAAAGACTTCTTGTACCAAAAATCTTCATCGATTTTCAATTCGCTTGGATAGCAGGAACTGCTCATCAAAGTATCAATTAAGTCGAAGGTAAAAATACTTCACAAATTATTTCTTCAACTGAACGCTCATTACRTCCACGCTCTTGGAAAAGTGCATTAATGGCTATTAAAGCTGGCTGGCTTCGTTGATGTAATCGCTTTTAACGCAGATCGTCTGAAATTTTGAAATTTTTAATAGACACAAGATGGGGAACTGGAGTAATTCATCAGTAATCSATATGCTGTCACAGCCCTCCGCGTCTCAAGACTTATACATCGTTATTCTTACTAGTGTGCTGATAATATTACTAATAGTTTTAACTTTGGTCGGCAATATCATGGTATTAGTAACATTTTTTATGTGCAAGGAGCTGCGGAGTATCACCAATTATTTTCTTGTGTCATTAGCAATTGCCGAYTTGCTAACAGCTATCCTAGCTATGCCTATTTTTCTAATGCTCAGGATCACGAACGATCATTGGGACTTTCCTGGGGGAATGATCTTTAAACATTTATTTAAAGCTGTTGATATAATAAGCGGAACTGCGTCAATTTGGAACCTTTGCCTGATTAGCGTCGATCGATTCCTTGCCATCAACATGCCTCTGAAACACATGGTAATATTGACACCTCGAAGAGCTGAAATTGTGATTGTAATTGTGTGGGGATTTGCCTTAGCTCTATCCTCCCTCATGTATGTCAATTGGCCATACAAAGCGTACCCGATAGTCACGCTCAGTTTTTTCTTGCCTCTAATTYTGATACTGTTTTCGTATGTTAAGATTTACAACACTATGAGAAACAGAACTTTTGTTCAGCGGAGAAGAGTAGGGATGAAACTCAAAAGAGATTTTCGCATGGCGAAGCAAATTATCTTAGTTATTGGTTCATTTTCGATTTGCTGGTGTGGATTCTTTGTGGTGGTGATTATTCTTGCTGTGGGTAAAATCGCTGTTGGACTTGTAGTCCTTAATATTGTTAAAGTTCTTACCTATCTCAACTCGTGTCTTAATCCTCTATTATTTACTTTTATCAGTCAAAAATTTAAAATTGCTTTCACTCAAATATTTCACTGTCAAAAACCTGACTTACGAAGAGCAAGGAATTTAATTTCTCAAAGAAGGAACAACCTGGAACAATACAATTCCATAATAACTTCAGCGATGCCGACATTAACGTCAGAATCACGACACTCTACTCCTTTGATACAGAGAAATCTGGTTCGCACAGAATCTTCGTTTGATGAAAAAGAAACTACAGTATAAGAAAACGCTTTATTCAATAAAACATAATTGCACTACTCTCTAACGAAAAGGCGCCAAATGWCAAAGATTATTAAAACTACGCTTGTTAATTGTGAGATATTTAATCTTCAGCTAATCAAATGCAGTGTTTGAATTAGATAGCTTGGTTGTTGTGCTATAGTATGGCCTTGTTAATTAGTCACTGGTTAAAAGAGAAATGAATAAGACCTATGTTGACACTCCCAGTATCATGTGCAAACAGACCTTCTTCGTTATTCATGAATTGTGTAGCACTTGTCAGCACAGATTTATTAAAAATGATTTAACTTTAATCATTACGAAGCCAGAATTAGTGGAAGCTACAAAAATAGCAACAAAATGAAAATTCTCACTAAAGGCAAAATGAAGCGAGTTATTATGTAAACATATTAATTACAGAAGCAATAAAGGATGGGCTGTTGTGGTTTATTTTAGCGCCGGAATAATCTGCTGTGGGACGTTGGAAAATGCAATCGACAAGCCTCAAATTCGGCTTTTTCGAGTATTCCTCAAGACCCCAAAGTGCTTTAATTATTTTGTTGGTAAACCATCGCAATTGCTTGATCACTTGATGGACATCAACCATTACCTYGAGAGAGTACATTTACCGGCGATACAAAGCACCCTTTTGGACCAATCAGAGTGCGAGAAAGAAAGCGGACGCTGTTCTAAAACTACTTAGAAATTTCAGCAATATTAACTCAAAACTGAACATAAAACTTCTCGTGAAGATGTTGTTTTAATTGAAAGAGCTCTTTGACGATCAGTGCTTTATTACAACTTAAAATAAACGTTTTGACTCTTATCGATTATTATCATAATCATTTTCAAAATATATAGAGATTCCTATTGCAAAAAAAATCACATTAGATATTCTATCTCAATGGTTAGGGCAAAACAAACACTTCTCAGACTCCTTTCACGTCAATCTTAAATATGACATGTTCGTCTACTAATTGGCCATGTTTCATCCTATCACTAAAAACATATTCATTCGACAATCTTGTTGGATACACTCTACAACTCCAAGCTAGCGATGTCAAATATTGTTTACTCAGTAACAGGCCTTGTCTGAAAGGAATACAAATTAAAGTATGGTGAATCTTTACTCTAGTCGAGTCAAACAGACTTGAGGGATTTTTCCAAAGCCGATTTTTAAGATCATCTTTAATATTAAAGAATTTGCTTTTATATTCAAGTTCACGATAAAATCTTAGAGGAAAAAGAGACGTGATAAGATAATTAGCTATATCATTTAGTGAACCTTCAAAGCACGTTTGAGCTGTTTTTTCGTCCTTAGGCGAATAGAAAGCCATTCACGTCAAACTCTTGTAAAGAAAAGACAAAAAGGATACCCTATAGTATTATAGATTCTACATGTCAGTAGCCTATGGAAATAGGCGCCTTTTTTTTACAAAATATATGTTATAAAGCTCATGCAAAGAATTATTCATCTCACCGCAATTCCGTCCAAAAACATTGTTCTATTATATAGAGARTTTCTTAGCAATGATTTACTATATTCAGTAAGTACTGATTGAGTGTAAGAGTTTTTTTAAAAAATGATTGAGATCAGAGCAAGATTGATTCATTGTTCTACTTTGTGTCTTCCGCTCAAAAAATTAAGAAGCCATTAYGGCAGCCTATGAATATGATGGCGCTGCTCATTAGACTGACAGCTTTGACGTAGCATTAATATTAACATACAATACTGACWTAAAATATAATTATGCTAAGAAAAAATAATACCTCTCATGGAGCGCTATATATACTAACTTCAAATTAGAAAAATGGATAGTGCTGTTGTTTYTAATTGAACACAAGTGCGTGTACAATAACACTTTTAAGAATATCTTTG